TTTAAGGATGTTGCTGTGAAAATTCTTATGGAGCAAGACTTTCATGCCGAACGCTTTAAAGAATTTTTGAGAGAGGTATGTAATAGCAACATAATTGAAAATTTAAAAACATAATTGATTGCAGTGTGAATTTCTTTGTCGTGATTTTGATATGCAGCGTGGCTTTTTCTGTTTGCTAGGTTACTATAATGAAACGGCTGCGGCATCCAAATATAGTTCTCTTTATGGGTGCAGTTACGAAGCCCCCAAACTTGTCCATTGTGACAGAATATTTATCAAGGTTTTATGATTTCCTCTTACATCCACTCCTTCCCCTACTACCGCCCCCTCAAATAGGAACTTGATGCCTTTTAGACATTTAGGCTGCATCAAGAGCTTTTACAATTGTTTAATGATCTAAATTATGGGCTCTAAACTGCAGAGGTAGCTTGTATAGGCTTTTGCATAAACCTGGTGCAATGGAGGCATTGGATGAGAGGCGCCGGTTGAATATGGCTTACGATGTGGTGTGCATTTGAAGAATCCATATTTTTTTTCTTTTCTGTGGCTTCTTATTCTTCCTTTCTCTTTACGTATTTAAGTTTTTATTCAATATTTTTGGCTACATGATTTGAATTGTTTCACACAGGCAAAAGGAATGAATTATCTTCATAGACGCAATCCTCCTATTGTTCATCGAGATTTAAAATCTCCAAATCTGTTGGTGGACAAAAAATATACAGTGAAGGTGAGGATCTTTAAGCTCACCCACATTTATTTTGCTTGTGGTTTGGGTGCTGGGAATGCATTGTCAATTTTATCTTGATGTTTAATGAGCTTGGTGAAAGAATCTTGTTGCTTCATAATTTCTCATGGCTCTTATAAGTTCAATTTTTAGTGGCATGCGCCCCACTATTAAGTACTTTTATGTATTTGGAATGGAGCATGACTATGAGCTTACCTGCATTTATTTACTTATTGTAATATTGCCATTTTGTTTATACAATTTGTCTTGCCTGTTCATTTGTAGGTTTGTGACTTTGGTCTTTCCCGTTTAAAGGCAAACACTTTTCTCTCATCAAAGTCAGCTGCTGGGACTGTAAGTTCTTTAAAACTAGACAAGAACCTGTAGGTTATCATTTTAAGGTGGCTTTACATGTTCATGACAATTGAAAATTGAAAATTATTAGCCGGAATGGATGGCACCGGAAGTCCTGCGTGATGAACCGTCAAATGAGAAGTCAGATGTTTACAGTTTTGGTGTAATATTGTGGGAACTAGCTACACTGCAACAGCCGTGGGGTAATTTAAATCCAGCACAGGTTTGTTTTTCATGTTAATAAGTGGAATGATGGAAGTGTACATCCATACATATAATCTGTGTTATGCTCTTATATTTAGAACGGGGAATGTGACTGTGAAAATGTTTATGTGACTATGAAAATGTTTTACATTATTCTTTCCAGTTTCTCCTTCAGTTGAGAATTTTACTGAAATGTGTATGTTGTATACTTTTACATGAGTTCATACATCATGATGATACATAGTGTTTCTTTTATATGTTGTGTAGGTTGTGGCAGCTGTTGGTTTTAAGAACAAAAGGCTTGAGATTCCACGTGATTTGAATCCTCAAGTGGCTTCGATCATTGAGGCTTGCTGGGCCAAGTGAGTTTGAGATTCTAATTTTCATATATTAGATTAACTTCTGCATGCAAGTCTCCCCTTTCAATACTTTTCTTTAATAACAATGGTCATACTGCAGTGAGCCCTGGAAACGACCTTCATTTGCTAGTATCATGGAATCTTTGATGCCGTTGATTAAAGCTCCTGCGACTCAACCTAGTCGTCCAGGTGTGCCATTACTCAGCTGAATGGGCGAATGCTTATTCATGCACATAATACAGCATTCTTTTGAGAAGTGATGTCTGGCAGGCATGCATGCTGTTCATAGTCTCAGGTATGCCTAAAATTTCCATTTCAGTTTTCCAAAATTGAGTAGTGCCCTATTCTTGGACTAGTAATGACATAGGTGTCTTAAGATTGATATAGAAATAGTGAAGCTGGGGATCTTTATACAGCCACACAATTTCAACCTGTATGCAATTCAAGTTTAACCTAATCCAACAGCGTGTAACTTCATGCGGTGTGCATGGAATCCTGTTGTCTCTTTCTTTATATGCTAGTTGATCAGTATAGCATGTAACTCCATGCTTTCTGTAATCATCATGTGCATGCAGCCTGTGCGGACTGCAGCCACTTTTGTGTGCTAATTGGAACAGCATGCAACTTCATGCTTCATTTAAAAGTCGTGTGTAGCCTGCTGGTACTGTGACCTCACTAATCAGAACATCATGTAACATCTTCCTCTAGTAGTTTGTGGATACAAACCTGTTAGGACTGTCATTTAACTGTGCGTGCACATGCACGCTCATTTAACAGCTGCTGGTAGCTGTGGATAAAATGCCATTCAAATTTGGGTTTCGAGGGCTTGCAATAAAACTTTCTATTTACCCTGAGTGCATGTGCTATCTGCACGCTTAAGTGTTGTTTACTTCAAATAAATTTTTTTATTTCTTTTGCCTGGTCAATTTCCTGTATATTAAACTTGTATGTGTAAATTTCTGATGCTTGTTCTCTGGCTGCAGAACCATTGTACAGTTCTGTTCTAATCTCCAATTCAGTATTCTTTATCGCTATCTCTTCTTACCCATAGAAGTCCACCGAAAAACCGTCCTGTCACGCCATCTTGGGAAAGTTGTATCATTTCTATTCATAATTTTTGTATGTAAAAGAGTGCGACTAGAATCAGGTAGCAGCTTTCCCATCATGGTACACAACTTGACGTTGTCTTTCAACATGTAATGACTTTGTATAAATTGTGAAGGTTAGTCACTCAGTTTAGCAGGTTTCTATTTTTGCTCCCCAAGTGCAATGGAGAAAACAAAAGTAGAAAGCAAATACATACTCTTTTAGCATCTCTACAATGGTCTGATTGATCATGGACACATCGTCTTGTGATCATTTTTTTCAAGTAGTTTGCAGCATGTTGCAGATTATAATAAGCAGAGAAATTATCTACTTAAAGTAGTTTGCAGCAAATTTTTCCTTGTAATTTATAGTAGGAATTATTGAGCCATGTGCTTTTATTCGTTTTGCTTTGCTTAAAGCAGCCCAAAAAAAGGTTTGCAAATCAAATCCTGATCTTATAGAATGCAGACTTTGCACGCCTATTAGCAATTTTTCAACGAAATGTGGAATATTATATTATAGGCCCGTGAGTGGGCAGGCAGAGTAAGAAGTTTCTTACCAAGAACGTGGGGAGATTTTCCAGTAAGTATTTTAAGTTAAGGATTGGTTATATACTTCTAATTTTGGATGTTGGATTGCATTTATTAAAGGTGTTGGTAGTCTTTCATATGCAATTCAACAGTCAAAATTAAAAGCATGTAATTAATCTTCAACTTAAATACTTATTGGAGAATGTTCTAAGAATGTAAATGAGCAAAAAATTGCTTAACAGTGATATATTAGAAGTACTTGTCCGGAGAAATATTATAAAATTATTTAGACCAAAACAGAAAAAAGATATTAAAATTTTGGATCTCTGTTTCCGGTCGATTTTGAATAAAATGAACTTGCTGAGTAGGCGGGCATGCATGTGATTAGTGTACTGTAGTCATTTTCGAAGAGGTGGCCAGTGGGGTGGCGAACGTCAATAAAACCAGAATTATGAATCCTTAAAAAAAAATTAAAAAAAAAACTAGATAATGCAAAGTACCCACTCAAATTGGAGTAAATGATCTAGGTGCACAAAATTACTAAAACACCTTTATTACGTCATCAAACTTAATGGACTTCTAGATGGAGTCAAATCTTAAAATGGGATTTGACTAATGTTTCTTGGTGCATTGTAACAATTAAGCCTAAATTGAAAGCTAATTATCAGTTTTCAAGATACTTTGAGATAGGACGCCCTGAACCACATTTGAACTTGGAGTGGGCAGAGCTCCACAAGAGCAACATATAATTGTGGATCATAACTATAGACGGCCCACCATTTTTGACGTACATAATTGTGAAAAGAGTCAAGACCAAGCTTATTATTGGTTGAATAGCTGAACTACATATTGAACTACGTAAATAAATCCTTCCACACATGACATGATATTAGTCTTGTTGCTCCAAAGCCAGGGTTTTACATCAAAGCGTCTCCACTTGATTTGTTTGTCTGATTCTAGATATATAGCCCATGGATGCTTTATTGCTGATGTTTCCTTCGAACCATTGATATAGGGGAATTCAATTGTAAAAATAGACTTCTCAACTTTTTTAATTCACATATGTCCTTATTCGGACAGAAATGAGAGAGACAGATAACAGAGAAGTAAAGAGGGAAAGAAAAAGATGAGGAAGAGGGAGAAATGGAGAGGTTCAATTTGGGTCGGTGAGACACGGGGAGTTGGGTGGGTTACGGGTATTTAATTCTGTTGTATAAAGGTTGGATTTTCAACTATGACTGGAACGAACGGAGGGAGCTTGGGGATTGCGATGGGAAGGGGTCCAAGTGCTTATGAGGCATGTGTCTCTCACATGACTTTTTTGACGAAATTGTCTCAAAATGGTTGCAAGATTGACTATTTATGAGTGATCGACAAAAAAATAATTGGGTGCTGTGGAAGCCTAATTTAGGCTAACTTGTGACGAGTATTCTCTCAATTACGCTTTAACGTATGACAGTTGTGTGAACTCATCAACCAGCTGACTCAAAGTCAAAGAGTAGACGACCAAAACAATTTGGTTGAACTAGTCATCAACCAGATTGACTTGATTCAATACCCTTTAAAGAAAAAGGTTAAAATTATGTGGACATTTTTTCGGTTTAATGTTTAGCCACGTCCTCCATTTTAAGGACTTGTGGAAAACAAGTGTCTATTCTATCCCTTCTTTTGTTAGTCACTCACTCCTATAAATATGTAATAATCGATGTGCTAGAAGAAAGTATAATTTCAAGTAAAAACACTATGGAGTTGGAGGAATTGGAAGGACAAGAGCCAGTGAGTCCAAATGGTCAGTACTTCAGTAGCAATGTGATATCTCTATCGGTTCTTGCTATTTGGGAATTTGAGATTCCATTCGATCCCGAGTCTCAAACAATATCGTTGCTTATTAAGAACGTCTTCCTCCCCGTCAGCCCTCGTTTCTCCTCTATCATGGTATGCTCTCTCTCTCTCTCTCTCTCTCTCTCTCTCTGATATAATACTTGTATTATAGATGTAGGTAGGTACTTTTTTTATATTTTTTATAAATACTTCTTCTTTCTGTACATGTCTCAAAGACTCATAAAAATATATTATTTTTAAAAATTAAATGTACAATACACGTACTCTTCATGTTTAATATAAGTTTTTTTTTTTACAAACTTTTCAATAATAGGGAAAAATTCATGTACATATATACATAATTGTCACATATTATTGAATAAAATAATATATATTTTATTTGGAAACAGGTTGAAAATAATGGAAAGAAAGAGTGGAAAAGGGTGGAAGTGAAGCTTGAAGACCACGTTTACACCCCTACTTTCCCTTCCGGCCTATCGCTTGAATCATACGACAAGTATTTTGACGACTATATTTCAAAGCTATTAACAGAAAGATTTCCACAAGGCAAACCACTATGGGAAATTCATATTATCACCTACCCAACTAGCAATGCAGCTACTAATGTAATCTTCAAGTTACACCATGCGCTTGGAGATGGTTACTCTCTCATGGGTGCCTTGATTTCTTCTATGCAAAGGGCTGACAACCCTTCTCTTCCCTTAACTTTTCCTTCACGAAAGCGACCCGAATCAAAGAGAGAAAATTTTGTGACTAAAACTTTCTCAGGTTTCTGCAACACCATTTCAGACTTGTGGTCGGGCACTTTAAAGACCATGAACGGAGATGTTCTAACACCAATCAGGTCTGGTAATGATGCAATTGAATTTCGGCCAGCAACTGTATCAACTATGACATTCTCTCTTGATCAAATCAAATCAATCAAGGACAAGCTTGGAGTGGTAAGATGAATCAACTATACTCGGATTTTGTCTGAGGAATGTCATATATATGCAATTATATTTCTCTCTCATACTTCATTTACTTAAGGCACGGCCCGCTCTGACTTTAGAGTGGTCACGTGTGAATTCCGCTCTGATTTTTTATTGTAGAAATGCCACATAGACTTCTGCCTCAATTTTAATTTGTCACCTTAAAGAAAAATTAAAGAGAAATGTCATTTTAATTTTTCAAATTCCATGATTTGTCATCTGACTTTAACACAATCTAGTTTTCCATCAATTTTAAAGAGTATTTTAGACTTTCCATTTTCCAAAAAAAAAGAAAAAAAAGAGAAAGAAGTGACATCTCCCTTTCTCCCCCAACCCAACCCCACTGCCCCCAAAACACATCGCACAGGACCCCTTCCCCCCTCTTCTGTCAATATATATATATATGTATATATATCTCTCTCTCTCTCTCTCTCTCCTCTCTCTCTCTCTCTCTCTCTATATATATATATATATATATATATATATGGTGTTAATTGAGCATGGAAATGGAAAAATATCAAAAATAAAAAAGAAAAAGAAAAGGTTGGACTCGATTTGGGTGGCTTGAGGAAATTTTTGTGTGGATGGTAGGTGTTTCATAGTAGATAGAGAAGAGGAAGGGCCTGTGAAAAGGGAAGGGGGAATGGATTTCAAAGTGAGCGGGGTTGGTTGAAGCTGCTAGTGGCGCAGGGGAGGGGGAAGGTGATATATATATTTATTTATTTTTCAATTTTAATTGTTTAAAAGATATATATATAATTTATTATGATTTTTATATTTTTAAAGTACCCTTGAAAACGGAAAGACTAAAATACCTTTTAAATGTATGAAAAATTGGATAGTGTTAAAGTCAAATGAAAAATAATGGATTTTGAAAAATTAAAGTGACATTTCTCTTAAATTTTTCTTTAAGGTGACAAATTGGATAAACCTAGGACATTAGAGCATCCACAGTGGGGGGTGTATTTTCGGGGGTGTAAAGCCACTTTTACATCCCTTTTACACCTCCGGGGGGTGTAAATACATTTTTTGCTCCAATGGGAAAGGATGTAAATCTTCATTTTTCCTCTCTTTTCACGGGTGGGTCCCGCCTGCGAAGGGTGTAAAAATATATTTAAATGTGCATTTTATTTTACATATCCATGGTGGTGATGTATGTTTACAACCCTTTACATCTCCCCATTGGAGATGATTCCGGTGACAAGGAGTGTATATTTAACATACACCCCCTTATACACCCCATACTGTGGATGCTCTTACATTCTAATTAGGAAATAAAAGCATCCTTATAAAGTTGGAAAAGCAGTGACTATTTAAGTGGGAAATAAAGTATTGTTTGAGTGGGAAATCATTTACAAAATAAACAAATTAGGCATTTCTTGCATCTTCAAAATAAGTCACGTAATTTGAGAAATAGATCAATAAATACGGTAGCCGACATTCAATTCTCAATTCGGTTTTTCTCACTCTTGCATACTCATCTAGATAGTACTAATACTAGAGCGTATTTTAGTGGCTCATTGTGTCCATAGTTGACGTTTTGGAGTAGTACGTATTACCGTAAAAAACATGATTGTTGTGTCTTGATATCAAACTAAATCTACTTATTTGGTCATTATATACAATGTAATTTACCTTTTCACTTACTATTACAGACTGTAAATGATGTTCTGACCGGGATGATCTTCTTCGGAACTCGACTGTACATGCAAGAGATGAACCAAAGTTCAAGCAAAGCAGATTGTACAGCAATGGTGTTGCTCAACACAAGGATCATGGGGGATTATATGCCAATTGAGGAGATGATCAAACCCAACAGCAAGGCGCCATGGGGAAATCGTTTTACATTCATGCATGTACCCATACCCAAGTTAACTGAACTCTCAAATGCGCTGGACTTTATCTGGAACACACGCAAAATAATAAAGAGAAAGAGAAACTCTTTCGCTGCTTATTTCAATAGTAGGCTACTGGAGCTTGTGCACAAATTTGGAAGCCATGAGGTTAGTAAATTTAAAGTGAAGAGTACACTACGAAATCCTTTAGCCGCTATGCCGGCGCGGCACCACCTGATTAATTTGAACCTGTTCAATCTCCTTCGGAGCTCAAACTTAGAAATTTTTATTATTTAGTAGTATAAACATATTGCTAGTTTTGCAGGCATGCGGGAAATACATTCATCGCACATTGAAGAACTCGAGCATGCTAATCTCAAATTTGATTGGACCTGTGGAACAAATGTCTTTGGCTAATCATCCAATAAAGGGTTTTTACTTTGTGGTCGGTGGTGGACCTCTGGTATGTCACAAATTGTTATGAATCTTACGTAAAAATTTAACTCCTAGATAATAAGTTCCCTCCTACTTAGTCGGTAAAAATCTAGCTCAATTGGTTAAGTTCTTTCACTTCTATCCATATAGGCAGACGTTCGAAGCCCCCAGACACCCATCAAATATTTGTGCAAACCACCACTCCCCCAATCGTTTGTATAAATAAATAAAAAATTACTATTAATGGTTCAACACTTAAATTTAAAAATAAAAAAAGAAGAATTAATGAACCTTCTTTTGTACTTTTCAAGTTCAATTTGTATTATTAATTTTTTCCATTACGAAATTTAGAACTAATTTAACATTCCTTACATGGATGGTTCTGCAGAGCCTTGAAATAACCATTGTAAGTTACATGGGGAAAGTGAGGGTCGCCTTCAATATGGAAAAAGATGTCATAGATCCACAAAAGTTGAAGTCGTGCATGGAAAATGCATTGCAAATGATACTCAACGACTCGCACGATTCACGAACATACGTCGCTTAACTTGTTCAAGTTCCACCACTATTCAAAATAAAAAGGCTTTATTTTCCAGCACTGTTGTTAAAGTGCAAATTTGTTCTTTGAATATTATTGTTTTGGTGATGAGGTGCTAAATCGTGGAATAACTCAAATGCATGCAGTTTTTCTAGTGTATTTGTTGCGCGCATTTTCTTCACTTTTGCTTAGGGGTGTGTAAGATCCAATCCAATTTAATCCATTTAAATTCATCGATCTACTTCAATCTAATTTAAATCAGTTTCGATGATTTGAAGGATTGAATTAGATCCATAATTTTCAAAACCTATATAATTGGATCAAATGACGAATTTGCTTGTAAGAATCCAATCCACTCTAGTTACTTTCATATACTCGAGTAGGTAATTGTAATTGAGAAAGTCATTAATATTTTAAGTCATTTGATGGATTTCAAGATGCTTGATTACAAGATGTTGGATTGTTTTTGTCTAATTTCTTTTTGTTTTGTTTTGCTTAGAGCTATGACTTTCATGTTCCCCAATAGGTTAATCTATTTTGTTCCTAGCTAGTAATATTCCCCAAGGTGCTATAAGTCTTGCTTTTTTAAAGGTCTGGTGTCAAAAATTAAAAGAAGGCTTTTTTACACACGCCCACATTCTGTATAATGGTAGAATTCTATAGTAAGGACTTTATCTAAGGCTCTTAGATGAGGCCTTATCTCTTAATCGTTGGAGCAAACTAATCAATGTTATCTAACGACTAATCAATTTAATCCAATAATTAAGAGATAAAACCTTACTATAGAATGACTTCTCCATATTAACTAACTTGGGGCTAGTGGGGTTCAATTGCGGTGGTTTGGCAGCAATTTTCCCCCCTAACATAACCAGCCCACCCAAAAATAATAAAAATATTTACTAACAAACTACAACCACTTTTATACACCAAAATGCGTCGAACCTGACCTTCCCCACCAGACCACGAAAGTCTCAGCCAACAAACTACACCTGCTTTTATGTAATCTGATAGTTACTCAAGGATAATGTACAGTTCGACAAAAAAATCAAGGATAATGTACAATAAAAACCAATACCAATTACTGCAATCATTATTTATTTATTTTTTTGTTAGATTGGAGGAAATAAACTTCACTACCACTGTGGAACAATAATTATTATTTTGGGATTTATGTGACTACAAAAAAAAAGGGGCCCAGTCCAAACAAAAACTAGTCATTAAGGCTTACACATATAACATTGGGTTTAAACAGCTAACAAAATCATCAGAAACAGTATAAATAACATATGGATGGGGGTCCTGAAAAACATACAACCCAACTAACTAGATTATCTACATAAAAAGGGCACCAAATTGAGGACAACGGATCCGCTCCCCACCTCCCTGTTCCATTTAGTTGACATCTGTCCATTTATTTAACCCTTAATTTACCATTATTAATTTGGAAAAATATTTAAAAAATTAAAAACTAAAAAATAACCAAGAATCAAAAGTAATTTAGATTATCGCTTGTATTAAAAGGCAAACACTTTTCTCTCATCAAAGTCAGCTGCTGGGACTGTAAGTTCTTTAAAACTAGACAAGAACCTGAAGGTTATCATTTTAAGGTGGCTTTACATGTTCATGACAATTGAAAATTGAAAATTATTAGCCGGAATGGATGGCACCGGAAGTCCTGCGTGATGAACCGTCAAATGAGAAGTCAGATGTTTACAGTTTTGGTGTAATATTGTGGGAACTAGCTACACTGCAACAGCCGTGGGGTAATTTAAATCCAGCACAGGTTTGTTTTTCATGTTAATAAGTGGAATGATGGAAGTGTACATCCATACATATAATCTGTGTTATGCTCTTATATTTAGAACGGGGAATGTGACTGTGAAAATGTTTATGTGACTATGAAAATGTTTTACATTATTCTTTCCAGTTTCTCCTTCAGTTGAGAATTTTACTGAAATGTGTATGTTGTATACTTTTACATGAGTTCATACATCATGATGATACATAGTGTTTCTTTTATATGTTGTGTAGGTTGTGGCAGCTGTTGGTTTTAAGAACAAAAGGCTTGAGATTCCACGTGATTTGAATCCTCAAGTGGCTTCGATCATTGAGGCTTGCTGGGCCAAGTGAGTTTGAGATTCTAATTTTCATATATTAGATTAACTTCTGCATGCAAGTCTCCCCTTTCAATACTTTTCTTTAATAACAATGGTCATACTGCAGTGAGCCCTGGAAACGACCTTCATTTGCTAGTATCATGGAATCTTTGATGCCGTTGATTAAAGCTCCTGCGACTCAACCTAGTCGTCCAGGTGTGCCATTACTCAGCTGAATGGGCGAATGCTTATTCATGCACATAATACAGCATTCTTTTGAGAAGTGATGTCTGGCAGGCATGCATGCTGTTCATAGTCTCAGGTATGCCTAAAATTTCCATTTCAGTTTTCCAAAATTGAGTAGTGCCCTATTCTTGGACTAGTAATGACATAGGTGTCTTAAGATTGATATAGAAATAGTGAAGCTGGGGATCTTTATACAGCCACACAATTTCAACCTGTATGCAATTCAAGTTTAACCTAATCCAACAGCGTGTAACTTCATGCGGTGTGCATGGAATCCTGTTGTCTCTTTCTTTATATGCTAGTTGATCAGTATAGCATGTAACTCCATGCTTTCTGTAATCATCATGTGCATGCAGCCTGTGCGGACTGCAGCCACTTTTGTGTGCTAATTGGAACAGCATGCAACTTCATGCTTCATTTAAAAGTCGTGTGTAGCCTGCTGGTACTGTGACCTCACTAATCAGAACATCATGTAACATCTTCCTCTAGTAGTTTGTGGATACAAACCTGTTAGGACTGTCATTTAACTGTGCGTGCACATGCACGCTCATTTAACAGCTGCTGGTAGCTGTGGATAAAATGCCATTCAAATTTGGGTTTCGAGGGCTTGCAATAAAACTTTCTATTTACCCTGAGTGCATGTGCTATCTGCACGCTTAAGTGTTGTTTACTTCAAATAAATTTTTTTATTTCTTTTGCCTGGTCAATTTCCTGTATATTAAACTTGTATGTGTAAATTTCTGATGCTTGTTCTCTGGCTGCAGAACCATTGTACAGTTCTGTTCTAATCTCCAATTCAGTATTCTTTATCGCTATCTCTTCTTACCCATAGAAGTCCACCGAAAAACCGTCCTGTCACGCCATCTTGGGAAAGTTGTATCATTTCTATTCATAATTTTTGTATGTAAAAGAGTGCGACTAGAATCAGGTAGCAGCTTTCCCATCATGGTACACAACTTGACGTTGTCTTTCAACATGTAATGACTTTGTATAAATTGTGAAGGTTAGTCACTCAGTTTAGCAGGTTTCTATTTTTGCTCCCCAAGTGCAATGGAGAAAACAAAAGTAGAAAGCAAATACATACTCTTTTAGCATCTCTACAATGGTCTGATTGATCATGGACACATCGTCTTGTGATCATTTTTTAAAAGACGACCCGATTGATAAAAGAGTATGTATTTTTTAAAAGACGACCCGATCTGAACAATAGGAACCTGATTGATAAAAGACGACCCGAACCCGACACGACACGTTTATTAAATGGGTTGGGTTCGGGTTGAGCATTCTTGACACGTTTAATATCCCGACACGACACGAACCCGACACGACACGACCCATTGCCAGCCCTAGATTGGAGGAAATAAACTTCACTACCACTGTGAAACAATAATTATTATTTTGGGATTTATGTGATGACTACAAAAATAAAAAAATAAAAAAAGGGTCTCAGTCCAAACAAATACTAGTCATTAAGGATTGCACATATAACATTGGACTTAAACAGGCTGACAATATCATCGGAAACAGTATATAAATAACATGCGGGTTGGCCCAGGTTTGGTTCAATTCAATCAAATATGAAACTTATTAGTGTAAAAATAGAACCAAACCACTCGAATTTATTTCATTTGATCAGTCCGAACGGATTGACAATGTGTTGCCCAGCTTTAATTTTGCTATTTTCATCTATAGCCACTTAAACTATACGGAACCTGGTTACCCACCCCTAGTTTTGATAATCCAGAATTGGATTTCTAACAGTATTTTGCCACCTCATGTGTTACATCAATCGGTATCTAAATAATAAAAATAAATAAAATAGACAATCTTTTAGTCTATCATTTCACGTGCATTCCATAGCCTTTAATATGTTGAAAACGTAAATGGTCATTTCTCATATAATAGTATTATATTAAGATGAGTTAATTTCGATTTAGTATCTTGAACTCTTACCTTTAAAGCACGTTTGTCCCTGCATTCTCAATTTTAACGATTACATACCATATGCTTTACAATTTTTTGCAATCTGGTTCCGGTGTTAACTTTGACATCAAAATTTCGGTTAATTGTTTTCATCGCATGTATGGATCTCACCTATTCACTTATTTCGATGTCAGTTGAAGAGTATTTTCAAGTAATTGGTGTCTTCTAACCCATGAAGAACAAATTATACACATTAATTCCGAACCATTTTTAAACAGAATACCTTTCAACTGACATTAAAATAAGTGAATAGGGGGGATCCAAGCTTGTCACACAAGCAATTAACAAAAATTTTAACAATGAAGTTAATGTCGTAACTAGATTGCACAAAATTAAAAAGCTTAAGGTAGGTAATTGTTAAAATTAAGAGAGCAAGGACAAATATGCCTTAAAATTAGAGTTCAGGTACAAATTAAAATGAACCCTAAATTTAATGCCCAACCAAAAAGAAAAAAGAAAAACCAAATAATTTTGACGAAAACAGTAACCGAACACAATGCCTGAGACGTCAGCACCTGTCGAAACCGTAGCCCCAAATATAATAATGACGAAATCTCATCTCCTGATTGGTCCTCCCACTTAACTTCATCCCCAAGTATTATACCCTGCCCTACCAAATCATTTTCAAACTTACAACAGTGCCAATCTCACGTCACCTAGTCCAGTCCAGAAAAATCGAGAGACAAAAATATCTTAGCCCGGCCGTGGGTCCCCGCCAAAACAGAACCACCATAACTGATTTTCAAAAAAGCGTAGCTCCAAGGAAGCTACGCCCTCTCGTTCTCTCTCTTTCTCAAGGTCGGTGCTGAAACACTCTCAACTTGCAGGGAGCCCCACTTTCGTGTGACCCAAACTGAATGGCTCGGAGCTGGGATGACCAAGAAGGCGACTGTAACAGTGGCAAAACCTTCACCGCCTTTGAACGCTCTTTCAAGATTTTTATCGAACACCTTGTCGGCAAAACCTTTCGACCTTCTTATATAACGCTCCCCAAGCTCTCAATCCCCATTTTCACCCCCACACCCACCTCTCTCTCTCTCTCACCCACCCAGAAGTCGGTTTGCTGCCATTTACAAATAGTATTAATTTCGTTCTATGAACCCAAAAGACGAGAGCTACCCAAAGTCTCCACCTACTTCAGCTGAATTGAACTCGGAGAATCCGTTTCGACCCGAAATGTCAGAACCGTTGTTGGGTTCTCAGTCAATTCCTTCGTTTACTTCTCCTCTGATGGAATTTGAAGCCTTTTGTGCTCTAAACCCATCGGAGTCTTCTTGGTCCTCTGGTGTTTTCGAGTTTGATAAGAAAGCTCCAACTGGAACGTCTTCGTTTATGGACGCTGGTGGCGCGGAGCACGTGGCCGTCCCGCAGCCTCTTGAATGTCTACAGGACAGTCCGGTTCCGCCGTTTCTGTCCAAGACTTTCGATCTGGTCGACGACCCGTCGCTTGATTCGATCATATCGTGGGGTTCCGGCGGCAACAGCTTCGTGGTGTGGGACCCATTGGAGTTTTCCAGGCTCATCTTGCCGAGGAATTTCAAGCACAACAATTTCTCAAGTTTTGTCCGGCAACTTAATACTTATGTGGGTATTTGCAGCCTGTATTGGCTGCCGCTATGATCTGTATGTAATAAATGTTGTTGTTTTGTTGTTCTCTTTTATGTTTTTTTATTTGGTTTTGTTTCTTTTTTTATGATGATGCTGTTTATCGTCTAAATTGAGTTTGATGAGTCTAATTCTGTAGAGATGTAGTCATGTATCTGAGGCCATTAGTATTGTATCTTTTAAACTCACCATGTAAGACTTTGAAGGAGGTGATGGCTTTGTAGCCTTAACTCCCAATTTTTTGTATTGAAGAGATTCATATGTAATTGACCAAAACTAAATAAAAGAGGGTTCATTTTTATGTAAACAGTTTCTTGTCGTGAAATGCTTGGCAATTTGTTTCTCTTTTTCATTAATGGTTTACACAGGTGAAGTGATAGACATTTGTTCTTGATGATGATATGTATTATGGTTTCTGTGGTTCTAGAAGATGTATGTGTTGAATTTCTCAGGATAATATATAACACTTTTGTAAGACTTGAATGTATTATGAAACTTAGTATAGAGAATCTAATTGGAATCGTAAAGGTTCTTTCATTGACTTCGTAGTTAGGACTGGAGGCTTACTTGTACGAAAAGAACATCCTCGTCCTTTGCAGGTAGAATTCAGGTTCCTATTGTTCAGATCTCTCTATATTATCATCTCAACTGCTCCCCTCCTCCCAACCACCACTTGTTAATGCTTCAAGAAGCTTTTCTCTATTTGTATTTGGTGATTTGCAGATTGCATAGTGAGGTTCAGCTCCTCATATGAATGAAAGTTGATGGATTCAAATTGTCTTGTGTGATCATTTGTGTACTACTTGAATAATTATATCTATCTTTTGATTTCTGTACTGTCTCGTTTCCATTCATTATTGAAATTCTTTGGGTACTGTGTTCAGGGGTTTCGCAAGGTTGATACAGATAAGTGGGAGTTTGGGAATGAAGCTTTCAAAAGGGGCAAAAGACATTTGTTGAAGAATATCCAGAGGCGCAAGTCACCTCAATCACTGCAGGTTGGGCCTTCTGCCGAAGCAGGGAGGCCCAGACTGGAAGGTGACATTGAGACTTTGAGGAAAGAGAGAAGTATGTTAATGCAGGAAGTTGGTGATCTGCAGCAGCAACAACGGGGTACAGTTCACCATATGAAAGTAGTGAAAGAGAGGCTTCAGTCTGCGGAGCAGAGACAGAAGCAGATGGTTTCTTTCTTGTCCAAGTTGCTTCAAAACCCAGCATTCTTAGCCCGCCTTCAACAGAAGACAGGACAGAAAGGTATAGACTCTCCAAGGATGAAGAGGAAATTTGTTAAGCAGCATCAGCATGAACTAGGTAAATCAGATTCTTGTATGCAAGGGCAGATTGTGAAGTACCAACCTGCTTGGAGAAATCTCTCTGTAGTCCCAGATGTGAATCCAGTAGTTCCTATTGAACAATCTCCTGATAATCTTTCACAAGTTATGGCAGGAAAACTGGGTTTGGTTGCAGAAAGCAAGCCGTATCAATTTGCAGATGTAGCATCAGATGAGTTAAATTTATCAGCTGAACCAGCAGTAATGCGAGGGCTTATCAAAACACCAGAGCAAGAAGGTGAAGGGGCGTCAAGCATGGGAGCTGAAGATCCATTTCAAAAAGGGAAGAGTGTTCTGAGCCCAGAACAGGAGGTTAATCCCGAGTATCATGTCTGTTTCCAGGAGGATTTTGGGAAGAATAAGATGTTTCCGGAACTTTTCTCTCCAGGGATCGATAGCATGATTAAACAAGAAGATATATGGAGCATGGGTTTTGATGTCAGTGCTGGTATGTCAAGTTCTAGTAATGAGTTATGGAGTAACCTGGTCAACTATGATGTGCCGGAGATGGGAGTGACAAGCGGATTGTTAGATATCTGGGATATAGGTCCCCTGCATGCAGCAGGAGGATCAGGCATTGATAAGTGGCCAGCTGATGAAAATGCATTTGATGAGCCTGATGGTCAAGCTGGCCAGCTAAAAGTCGATACATCTAAACGTATTGATCCATAGGGGCTGCATTTGCTTCTCCATTTGCTGCCCTTGCGGATCTTAGTCTAGTTGCAGGGGTCTATTATTTGGACGATATACTAATGAATATATTCAGTTTATATAAAAGTTCCATCCTTCCTTTATTATCAGCTTTTATTCCTTCATCTTTGATATCCTTTCCGACTGTTCTTATTTATTCTATAGGTTGCATTCCTTCTAGTTCTAAGCTGCATTGATCTTATAGTCCTGTTGCTAACAGATAGTTTTGAGCTATGAACACTGCAGGTCTTAACCCTTGCGAAGGGCAGCGCATTTCTGTTGGGGAAACATGGTCATGCATGCTCAATTGCCCTTTCCAGCTCGAAAAATTCCAGCAAGATGAACTTATTTGATAGGTACAGTAGATAGAAACTACTGGATTAGTTTAGTCTGTTGAATGAATTTATTCTTATTCTTCTTTTGGGTCTCCCAACTTTTGACGTTTCCATTTTAGCTTCAATCTTCTGGACTTTCATCATTTCTTCAGTTGAGCGTGAATATATACAGCGAAGAAGACAAAGTAAAGATTGATAAGCGGGGTTGCCTTGGCGTATCCGAATCCACCTTCTGCCATTCCTCCACCAATTGGCATTTGGAGCAGCATTATTGGGTTTGGACTCAGAATGTCAATTTTTATTAGTTAAACAATCATTATTCAATAAAGGGAGGAGAGGAAGTTCAGACTTCAAATTAAAACGCTTTTCTTTTTGGGGTGATAAGCCATATTCATCAAGGGGCGTGTGTATCATATGCAGTTATACTTGTTCAAGGAGACGTTGGAGCAACCGTCAACTGCTCAGGCGTGGTTGACAGTGAGCCTTGTATGGTATGGTGGTCCTCAGAATCACTTGTTTAAAGTTCGTTGTTTCTGGGATAAGAAGGAATATTTGTTTTATCTGTAAGTTCAACCCTGAACAGGGGCCATTGGCATCAAAAATAGCAAAAACTCAGTTGAACAGTATGTGCTATAATCCAACCATAGAATAGTTCGTATTCAGTTCAGTGCAGCGTAGCAAGCGAACATTTCTGAAATATGACTAACGAGAAAATAAAATAAGAAACATAACCATTGAGCCATTACAGGCCATCAACAACAACACATTAGGTAAATATATGTTTCAGTAGCAAAGGAAAGCTTCTCTAACAATTGCTTATGTGGTAAGTAATTGAAACTCATGGTTGGGAAGAGACTGGAAAACGGAACGATTAGCTCAACACTAAATTATACGGTGTCACTTTTGCACATGAAAATGATAACACAACAGATGTAACTCATGCTCGTCATGCAACTAAATCCTATGAAAGATGGGAAAGAACAAAATCCTGAGCTCCTTAGATCCCTACCACCTTTTGACTTTCAATCCTTGCAAGCATTGGCCCAAAAGCAAAAGCCGATGCCAGCAAGAGTAAACATGAATTGTTCCCAGCGCAGCCTGCTTATCCAAAAAGAATTACTCAGCACCCTCCTTCTGCCTTTTCGATGCATGCTCATTACGCTCCTCACTCGTTCCAGCTTCACGGGGTTCCCTTTTAGCTTTTTTTGATTTCTTAGGCACAAGCATGTCTTGAACCTTTGGTGCACGCTCATTACTCTCGTGTTTCATTCTAGCCTCACGGCGCTCCCTTTTAACTCCCTTGGTTTTGCTAGGCACAAATGTGTCTCCAACCTTTGTGTGATAATACACCGTGTCTCCAATCTACACCCACAAATTTTGTTAACAAAAAAAAAAAGATTTACACATATTAGACAAAAATAAATTAGTCAGACAAATGCCATCCAAAACAAGCCACCTTTGAAACATCAGACATCCTTAACATCAGTGTACTGAGACCAAATTATGTACACTGAAACTTAAAAAAGTCCGGCAGCTGTGTAGTGAGAAAGATGCAAAGCTCTCCACCACACATCTTTGCCCATGAGACCAAAGGGTAACCTTTTAGACAGGGAACTGCTGCTAAATGAAAGAATTTATTTTCGCCGTTTACCTTTTGGTTCGGGATGTTGATTTTCCCAACCTTGCCGCGCAGTGTGTCCTGTTTAATATTTTTGTCCTGGAAAGTAATAATAGGAATTGTGTTACAGGCATGTCAAAGGCAAAAGAAACAAGAGAGATAAAAAGAAGATTTAGAAATCAGACCTTCCTAGGCTGATTTCTGGCTTCTCTCATTGCTTCTTTCCTTAGGCTTTCATTAGGAAGACGATGCCGACGAACTACTAAATCCATGGAGGGGCCAACTTCAACAAGTTCCATTCTTGGAACTACTGTACCAGACTTTTTCAGTCGCAGCGCACAAAGAGTAAGGACCACTTTGTTTGAAGATATAGCTGTACATACATATACACGATCTAAACCAGCAAGATTTAATTTCTCTACAACCTGCACATATCATTTTTTATGCATCTATTAATATCCCTCTAAAATTCAAAACCAAATAATGTGCAAATGGCAGCAGAGATTAACCTCTCCTCGCAACAGATCAAGCAAAACTTCCTTCAAATGTTTCAGCTCTCCTGCATTCTCAAATCCTTCTCCTATAAAGCAAATGAAAGGTTTCGACCCCACACGTGGTGCTAGTTTCTTGTCATATGTAAATGATTCCATCCGTTTATAATTTTCAACCCCAACCTCCACAAGATCATATATATGGTGATCATAAGTTCTCCCTATTACAAGATTGTCAGGCCGTTTCTTTGAGTGAGAACCAAACTGTATAATAAGAACAATGAAAAAAAAATTAAAAATATGTTAAAGAAAAAAAAACACAAGTAGAGAAACGAGCATCATTGGCATTCCAAAATCTTGGATGAAGGTAAAAATGCTTGCAAATTTTAACTCTGACAAATAATCAAAGCTCATCAAATTATTGTGTGAAAGATATAATAGAATTAATATGCAAGTTCATTCATATGCTCTTCTGTGTAAATGGCAATCTTTTATACAGAACGCCAACAAGTATCAGACACAAGCAGGCAGCTAAAGCAAAAATAAAAGACAATTCAAAATTTCTTTTAATCCCATAAAGTAAGATTATTTTCTTTGCAGTTACATTTTTTGGTACATATCTGTGTTACTCTACTTTCTTGTCATTAAAGTTTCCCTAAAAAAATTATTCTCTTTGCAATGCAAATAGTTTCATGGGTGCTTTGCTGTTATTCTGTATTCTTTTACGAATTCAGAGTCTGCAATTTCCAAACATGCCTAAAACTAGTTGGTTCACGTACCAAATCCATCAGAACTGTCACAAGAATAAAAGAGGCAGGTCCATATTAGAAACATAAACTGAGCAAACTCCACAAATTCCATGCTACAAGTAAAAGCAATCAATTTGAGAATGGATTGTACAATAAAAATAAGCACCATCACAAGCCAAATTCGAGAGAACCGCAAAATCAATACACTACACAACACACACACAAACAGTCACTGCTCAAAGAAAGAAATAGAAAGCGTGCATCAGCTTCCAAAAAACATTCATTAATAGTAACAATTAAGAATGTAAAATTAAACAAATGCCACAACATTATCAAAACCGAATTATCCCCCATGACTCAAAATAGAAAACACTTGCACAATACATATATATATGGTGGGAGAAGCAAAAATCTGAGTTGGTTTTGTACTCACAACGAAAATGCTGCAATCGGTTTTTTGAGAAAAGAACTCGAGGGAAGTTTCACCGCCACTTTCAAAAGGGCTAATATCCTCATTTCTGCGGCTGAATTTCACAGCACTGTCCTTCTTCAAATGATAAAGGTCAGACAATACCGAATTCACCACATTGCTCGTCTTTCTGCCGTGAAGTATCAGCGTCTTCTTCCCGGTCTCAACCTTCAAATTATCAAAAACCCAATTGAAAAAACAATGACAAAGGACTTTCGCTTTTGGACATGGGAAATTTGTTATTTTCCCGAGAAACAAACACATATGGAACTTACGATCTTTGGGGCGCGTTTCTCTAGCTCCCTTCTGGCCTTTCCTTTCTGTGGAGTTTTCACTGTCAACATGGTTGGCTGCAAACACTAAAACCTCTGAAAAACCAGTTGCAGGATTTTGGAAGGGAAGCTAGGGTTTTATTCCAAAGACCGACTATGGACTGATGCCTTTAGGGTTTTGTGGGCCCATTCTGGACTTTTAACATTTGCTCCTGTTCCTGGCCTTTTTTGGGCCCACCCAATTTCTCCTTTTGTAACCCAACCTAAGCCCAAACTCCTTCTTTCTTTTTTTTTGTCTATTTCATAATCCATTCATGCTTTTTAATAATTTACTAACGAACTATTTTTTCTTAAAAAATAATAATAAGAAAAAGGAGGCAGATGGCCTCCAATTTTTTTTAAAATATATTGTTATTTCCAGTTTTGGAATATTATAAAATTGGGTGTCTTGAGTGATTGAGTGTCATTCTGTTCCTTTTATACTTTTGTAATTCCAGTTCTTATTTATATTTTGTTCTTTATTATATATTTTTTTAATATACTACTTTTGACTTATTTTTTTCCCCTTTACAAATAAGTTGTCACTTTTTTTTTTTCTTAAATGCTAATAATTTGGGGGTTATTTGAATATTTAATCATAAGATCTTCCGCTTTATATACGTAACTTTAAAATAAATAAAAATGGTGGCCCATTATTACACACCTTCACATGCATGGGTGGATAAATCAGGAACTAACACACAATTATATGTGTGTGATGTGATGGAGATTATGTGATTAAATCACATAGAGATGATGGGATAAAAATTGGGATTTGTATTTATCCATCATGTTGTTGCGGCATGTCCTTTAGTCATGTGCAAGTGGTGCACACACATGCATATGCCCCTCAACCATTATCAAACAAAAATGTATAATAGAATATATGTATATCTGAGGAAATGGTTTGACTTTTATGAAATTGTGAATACGAATGAGATATAGATAAGCATACACGAAATTTGGTCTTCGAGTATTTAAATAGCTTTTTTTTATTGATATATGTGTGTTAGACTAAATCGTCAAAGCAATTGTAATCGTTCGTTTGTTTTAAGTTCGATCTCCCTCTCGTATGTCTAAATACTGCACATAACCTATTGTGATTAAACTCACGAGGCTCTTTTTTTAATATATAGAACAAGCATAATTTCATTGAAGTAGGGGCAAATACAATAGATTTACAATAAGAACATACCTCAAATGAAAGTTCTTGCATACAAATTTTGAACAAAGTAAATGCAGCAAGACAGTGAACAATAAACATGGAAATATCAAACTTAGCTCACTGAGAGTTAAAAGCTAAAGGATCAATAAGACTCATGACATAACCTAGTGCTTCAGAGATCATGGTAAAATAACATATTTTGCTGTAACAGGGAATCAGAGGCACCAAAAGTGAAAGGACCTTACTGCTCAACATTCACTTGGTTAGAGAATACCACAATACCTTTAACATCTCATATGATCCCACAACACCCAATAATGAAAGATCCATCTAGATTTAACAGCTCCACCTCCATAACAACCAGTCTAAGAAGGCTGGTGAAAATCCAGTATAAAATTGGAGAGAAATAAAACCCAGCACAAAATTGAGAGGGAAAATCTCTGTACAACATGACGAAAGAGAAAGGCACCCAATTTATTAGCTGAAAAGGTTGATTCTAGGTAAAACCCCTGAATCAAAAGGGTTTTAGAAGAGAGGGGCAACCCATGGGACCTTAAAGAAAATATTCTTAGACAAAAGAGTATCCCCCTTGAAGACAAAATAATATGTTCACTATTTGTTTTATAATTTTTTCAACGGTTTCAAATCACACATTATATTATTCTAATTTTCTTCATCTCAAATATTGTCATACCTCCGTGATGCATTCGTTTAGTTGATTCATCAAGTGCACTCTTTTTTCTGAGTGCCAATTATAACTAGAGAGAAAAAAAAAACTCTTATTATCATTATTTTTAATTTATTATTAAACTTGCTTGAGGTTTTAGAGAGGGTATTTGTTAATTTATATTTTTTAAAATTGGCAATGCACCGTTAACTTAAAATAAAAGATTTTATAATGAAAAATAATATTATAGCAGAATTATACAGTTAATACTTGCCCATTAAACAAAATCAATCAATAAAACATTATGAAAATTAAAAGCTGTTAGAAAGAGAAAAAGAAATAAGATAATAAAAAAAAAAGCCCTCGTTTCATTCTCGATTCATGAAAGTTCCAGTTTTTTTTTTTGGGGTCCTTTTCTTCTTCTTGTCTTAAAACGGACGTCCGCTATATATTTCTATCACACAGATAGACACACTCCTCTACATCGCCTTGTTCTTAATCTAACCCTAAATCCCAATTCCCCAAGCTTGTAATCCCAATAAATCCCCAAACTTTAGCGCCAAATTTTCTAGTTTGTTTAAATTTTGTATAATTGTAATAAGAATCAGGGTTTATATTGATTCTCCATGTATTTAGGGTTGTTTTTAATTTCTTGTCATTTTCATAGCTAGGCCCTTGCGGTGTTAGTAGTATATGTTTTTTGGATTGAATTTTTGTAGATGACTGATTTGTAATCGTAGATTAGATTTAGGGTTAGGGTTTTCATTTCTAAGAGTGCGATGGAAATGGAGAGCTCGCGTAGACCGTTTACCAGATCGACTGAACCAGTGAAGAAGCCCCGATTGGCCGACGACCGGGGCCTGAACCCGAACCCGAACCCAAATGGTCGAGCTTTCGCGCAAAGACCCGGTGGAGCTAACCCAGTGCTGTCAAGGTTCAGAGTGAGCGATAGAGACTCGGAGAGCAATGACGCGAGTCGCGGCGGGGGCTATGTGCCGCAGCCACTGCAGCATCAGGAGCTTGTGAGCCAGTACAAGACGGCGTTGGCGGAGCTCACCTTCAATTCAAAGCCCATAATCACTAATTTGACGATAATTGCTGGGGAGAGCGTCCATGCGGCGAAGGCGATCGCGGCCACTGTATGCGGCAACATTATTGAGGTGAAACCCAGCTTTACACTGTGTATGTAGCTGTATTTGTGTTTAATATTTTGGTTATGGCGCCAGTTTTTTGAATTCGTGTTGTACAAATGCAAAAAGGAAATGGAGGTGGGAAAGGAGATTTAAAATGTTGCTAGTGCTCGCTCATATGCATGTCATGTTATGCCAATGATTTAGTGAAAAAAGTGGTTTTGTTAGATCCTTGTGCTTGTCTTGGATGTGAACTATTTATGTGCTCACAAAGTTGTGGTTTGGGTCTGAAATTAGCTCAATCCAGGTTTTTTGTTTTTGTTTTTTATTTAATTTCTTGAAGCAAATACAAAGCTTCATGATAAGTGTGGTGTGGTGTTCAAGTGTTGACCGTGAAAGGGAATTTTTGTATTCATCCGTGAAGCCATGGAAGTAATGAGCTGGTGTATCTCAGTTTCATCTTTTATTGTTCCAGTATGATATTGAATTGAGGGTTCGGCTACAACTTGCTTCGGTCAGGCCTTGTACATTGTAATCAATATCTTTTGTTGACATTCCCCCAGTTTAACAGGTTCCAATTCATGGTCTTCTGGTTGTCTGTGCCAAATTTGTTTTCCACTGCACGCGAATGAGGCTGCATCTGTACTGAATAGCTTCATGAGAAGGGTTTTGACATTTGTGGAATGAGTTGTAGCAGGTTTTGAACCAAATAAATAAATTTTTATTTTTGTTTTGTTTTTTCACAACAACAATGCAGCACTTCAAAAGAGTGTAAAACCACTTTCTTTCGTTGCCTAATAGATGCCTCTATGTTTAGTAAACCCACATGAAATGTTATGGTTGTGTATGAGAACCTTATGCCTATAGATTTCTGGGGATTTTGTTTACACCTGATGGTAATCTCCTGCAAGAGGTTGACTTTGACAGCCGATCTCTACTGGTGCAAGATCTCATATGGTTTTTCTTGGTGGTATTTTCATTGAGACACTGATCCTCTAATGGTAATTAAAGATTGTGATATTGATAAAGCAGACAATACATACAAACCTCTTATTTTGTTAAGAAAAAACTAATGGGATGGTGCCAATTTCATTCATATCCTTACATTTGAAAGGAGGGCATATTTGAGTTATTATTGTGGTTACCACTAATTCATAGGATGTTCCATTACATTATACCTTGAAGTCAATCAATTGTTTCCCAATGTCTTCTTGTTTGTTTAAACTCTTTTTAGTCAGATAGATTTATATCGTTAGTCTTGAATTGTTCTCAATTAGGCTTCGGCTACCGCACATTCCCATTCTAGCTTAAGTTGTCTCATGATTATCTAGTGTCTGGAGATGTGTCTTTAGATATTATATTATGCATGAGTGGCAGAGTGCTGGGTGTGTTGTTACTTAGTTAATTGCCAATGATCTTGCAAGTTAAAGACTTAAATCCTTGTGAGACAGAAATTGGAGTGAGAGACAAGTTATTTGAAGGATACACGAGAAACAAGTCATATAAGATGAATCACTTGTTCGAGAAAGGACTTGAAGAATTACTAAGGGAAATATCTTCAATGTGACATGCACCTTTAGGCCTTGGTTCAGCTGCCAAGTAGCTGGGTGGGGAGGGGATGTATATTAGTTTTTGCTGCACAATGGGCTAGTTTAGAAGTGACAGAACCTGCAGATGTGTTGCTTCTGATATCTTTTAAATGGATTTGAAGAGCCTATACTGGAACATCTTCTCCTTCCCCTTTCCTTTCTCATTCGGGAAGCATTTTGGTGTTAGGCCTTTGGTTTATCAGTCACTTATTTGTTCAAACAATATTGGCTGTAACTAATTGTAGAAAGTGATTTGCAGGTTTCTAGTGAGCAGAAGTTACCATCACTTTATCTTTTGGACAGTATTGTAAAGAATATTGGAAGGGATTACATAAAATATTTTGCTGCCAGACTCCCTGAGGTTAGATTTCTGTTCTTCGTGATGCCTCTCGTTTCTCAGCATGCTTTTTCTGGTTATGTAAAGCATCTTCTTTATTTCTTGACATGTAACACCTGTCTGAATGAACATTGAATACACAACATATTAAGTTTGAGGATTAACTAATGGCAATCAAGATTAAATTATCTTTGATATCCCCTCGTGTTCACTGCTTACCAATTACATTGTTTCTTTCAAATAAAATGATGTTTTTCTGCACAACATGTCATTACTACCCCTGTGTGTCACAACCCACGATAGGCTTGACTCATTAGTTACTTTGTAGTGAAAAGTTTTTCCCCTTTTTTGCACTTCTAGGTGTTTTGCAAGGCATATAGGCAGGTTGAACCTAATGTACATCAAAGCATGCGCCATCTTTTTGGAACATGGAAGGGAGTATTTCCTGCTCAGACACTTCAGATGATCGAGAAAGAACTTGGGTTTGCTTCAACAGCAAATGGTTCATCCTCTGGAGCTGCAACATCAAGACTAGATTCCCAGTCGCAACGACCGGCACATAGCATTCATGTGAATCCCAAATATTTGGAAAGGCAACGTCTTCAGCAACCAACAAGGGTAAGTGGAGTTCAAGTTAATTATGGATGTGGATTACCATCTATTGAATTCTGACCTCCTAGTATTAATTGTAAGCATGTGAAGTGACATGGATGCTTGTCTTTCATCTTCCTTGCTTTATTTTCTACCATTTAGTGGTGGTTTGTTAAAATTATGCACACACAAATATTGTTAGCAGAATACTATCCTGTGATGAGCTTTTTTTCACTGGGCGTGAAATTACTAAATGTAACAGTATTTAGCCATGTGGAAATTATAAGTGAATTTTAGAATCATCTTATGTCAGGTTGTAAAATTTCTGTATTGGTCTTTGTTTTTGGAGTGTTTATGAACAAAAGATTTGCTTGTATTCTTATATTTAGAGTGATCTTATACTTTCCAGCAGCATTTTGATCCTATACCAGATGATTTTTATCTGATAATAGATTCTGTTTTCATGTGAAGACTAGCCATTTGTATGGGTCATTGGAGTCATTTACTACATGCAACCTTGATTTTACCATCATATTAATTACGAAGAGATGAGTGGTTTTACTTATTTAATAACCTTCCTGTAATATCTGCTGAATTAGGTTTTCATGCTTCTGGAATTCTTTCTTCTCTAATTTTCATTTAGAAACTGAAGTTAGAATTGAAGTTATATGTGATATATTAATTATTATTTTTTCTTTTCTGCTGGTTTTGGTATGAAGGCAAAAGGAATGGCCAGTGACTTTTCTGGGGCTATGGCAAACTCAATTGATGATGCAGAGAGGCCAGACAGAGTAGCAAGTCTCAGTGCTGGACGACCGTGGGTTGATCCTACTGTTAAAATGCATGTATGTGAAGTACATGTTGATTTATGTGTGTACTATTTTCCTTTTTATTCTTTCTGTAGTTTCATGATATGGTTAACGTTTGCAGAATATGCAGCGTTCTAATACAGATGCACAAAGTGAGCGTGTTCATGAGAAGAACATCGGCGCTGAATATGGAGAATATGAATATGGTTCTGATCTTCCAAGGAGTTCAAACTTAGGAATTGGAAGAATTGGTGGGAAGATTACCGAGCAAGGAAATGATAAACCTTGGTATGGTGGTGGCAGCAGTGTTGCAGAAACAATATCCAGTCAAAGAAATGGTTTTAACATCAAGCATGGACTTACAAATTACTCAGCACCTAAATCTGCAAATGCTGATCCTCGCCTGAAGACAGCACCGGCCATTGCAAGTCGAAGCAGCGGTGTGCTGTCTACTAGCTGGAAGAATTCCGAGGAAGAGGAGTTCAAATGGGATGACATGAACTCGAGGTTAACAGATCATGGTCCCCCCGATATTTCTAGTAACTCAAGAAAAGATCGCTGGACTTCTGATGATTCAGAAAAATTGGTAAGCTCCAATGTTTTTTACTAGTTGAAAATTGGACCCTGAGCTTCTCTCACCCTACTGGTTCAAATGTTAATTTCTCAGTGATACCGATACAAGAGCTAATGCAAGGACTGGTTTCTTTGATGCTTCATTTCATTATAGATAGCTAGCCAGTTCCTATAAAAGTTTACATGATACTTAAATAGTTATCGGGCTGATGCCTGTTGGGTGCACAAACTCTGACTGTCTCTTAAATATTAAGGATTTTTTTTCTTCCAAAAGTTTTATTGATTGACATTGTCTATATGGACAGGGGTTTGGAGGCCACTTTCGTAAACCAAAAGGTGAAAATGACTTTGCAACAACAGTTGATCTGGATATGTCTGCTGATCCTACTGAACATAATGACCTATCTGCTCTTGGGCACCGGATGTCATCACCTTGGCCGTTACCGGACTCTCACGGTGTGGATGGGCTGACCCCTACTGGCACTCCTGTGATTAGTTCAGTTCATTCAGAGCGTTATGCTTCAAGTTTAAGTGGGCTATCAACAAGTGGAGATTCTTCTGTAGCTAGGCTGGGAAGTCGAGCACAGGTAGCGTCTTCTCGTATTGGAGCCTCAAGTCTCGGGTTTGGTGCAACATCAGGGCCTGCTGTAGCTGTGGGGAAACAGAAGCAGCTTCAGTCTGTGAGAGCTGCATCACCATCTGGACAGGCACTGGTGCACCAGCATTCTCCCGCACCTACATCAACAGTACATCATCCTCATCATCATTTGCAAAGTTTAGCTGAACAAGACTATCTTGAATCCCCGTCCCTTCCTCTTCTTGATTTAAAAGTTTCTCAACTTTTGGGAAAGTCAGACTTAGGATTGCATAACCACTATACTGAGGACTCTGCGCCTATCCCAACTCCCAATGTCCGGCTGGGTAGCATAGCAAAATCACGGCCACAAGATTTGCATTCTTCATCTTCGTCAATTAAGAATCCCTCTTCGCCACAGTTGTCTACTTATGTAATTCCCTCAACGGCTGGCATTTCTATACCAGATCATTCAAATCTCCTTGCTGCAGAAACTTCAGGACAATCAAGCACAAGTAGTTTGTTGGCTGCTGTTATGAAGACTGGAATTCTTTCTGACAAATCAATTACTGGTAGCCTACCCAGTTTGAATCTTCGGGACATGGCACAAATTCAATCACAATCAGGTGTTCAGCCCCCCTTGCCAAGTGGACCTCCCCCTACCCAGGTTGCACTCCCAGGGTCCAAGGTCGCATCAGCACCTTCATCAAGTCACCTTTCCCATGAGAACTCACCAGCTTCCTCAGATAAGAAGGTAGGACATCCGACACTTCCACCTAGCCAACCCCTCTCTTCTCTTGAGGGTACTGCATCAGCAAATGCTTCAACTGTGGTGAATAATGCCTCAGATCCAATTTCAAACCTTCTAAGCTCTTTAGTTGCAAAGGGTTTGATATCTGCATCAAAGTCGGAGTCACCCACTCCTGTGTCATCCCAAATGCCGAATGAACTGCAAAACCAGAGCATATCTACACCTGTCACCAGTTCAGTGTCAGTATCTCCAGTTTCAGCTTCTCCAAGTCTTCCTGTTTCATCTCAAACTGATGATGTATCTCTCGCCGAACCTGTTGCTAAAACCTCTTCTGCCTTACCTCAATCCAGCAAGATAGAAACAAGAAATGCCATTGGCATCGAGTTTAAGCCAGATAAAATCCGAGAATTCCATCCATCTGTGATCGAGGAACTTTTTGATGACCTTCCTCATAAGTGCAGCATATGCGGCCTTAGGCTCAAACTTAAAGAAAGGCTTGAGAGACACTTGGAGTGGCATGCTTTGAAAACTCCTGAATCCAATGGTTCAGTTAAGGCATCAAGGAGGTGGTATGCAGATTCAACCAATTGGGTTGCTGGAAAGGCAGGACCTCCTTTAGGACCTGAAGACAACATGTCAATAGATAAGCCTAGTGAGACAATGGACAATGGTGAGCCCATGGTTCCAGCCGACGAAAGTCAATGTGTATGTGTTATATGTGGTTATATTTTTGAAGATCTTTACTGTCAAGAAAGGGATGAATGGATGTTCAAAGGAGCTTCATACTTGAGCATTCCATATGGGGTTGGTGATTTGGGAACTACAGAGGAGAGTGTTGTGAAAGGTCCCATTGTTCATGCAAATTGTATAGCAGAAAATTCACTCTCTGATTTGGGACTGGCCAGCCGCATTAAATTGGTAAGCTTTTGTTAAATAAATATATGGGGAAAATGGATGTCAAAGTCCAATGCCCAAGGTGTTGCCAGCATTTTGTTAAATGATTTGGAATTCCTGGTCTTCTGGTTTGATCTGAATTGTAGATGATAAGATGTTGCCTCTTTCTCTTTGGCAGGAAAAGGATGTCTAGTGCTCCGAGCTGAAAACATCAAACCATCACCATGCATTATGAACTTCTGAGGGAAATCCAGGTTTATGTTAGTGTATTTTAGATGCGAATCTTCACTCGTAATTTTGTTGTGCCACAAAATGGTGGTGAGAGCCTTCTACTAGTTCATCTTTCTTTTTTTTCTCTCCTTTTTGTTTAATTCATAGTTTGAGATGTAAAGAAATACATCTATATGCCAGATAGTTTGCATCTCAATGATTTCTCTTATGTGGTTGATGTTTTGCTATATTTGCTCTGTTTTTTACTTTTGATGCTGCAAAACAAGGAAAAACACTTCTGATCCTCCGAACCATATCCTTCCAGCTTCACAATTGGCAAGTGGTTGTGGCCCTTGTGGGATGCCTCTGTATCAATATGACATCATTGGAGTGGAGCATTATTATTCTCCTTTTTTTTTTTTTTTTTTTTTTTTCTTTTTCTTTTTTTTTCTGTTATTTTTTTTATATTATTTTTTTTTTCATAGTAGTTATAGGGGTGTGGTTAGAGTTGAATGTGATTTTATATTTTTGATGTTTCTGGAAAGATAATGGATGCTGTTATATATTGGCATGTTCATCTTTTCCCCTTGTCTACTTAGAACTCTTGTGCACCTAATGCGTTTGTGAATGTCTTTCATGACTATTCATTGTGCAGCTCTTTACCCTTGTGTAGCTTGTTTCATAATTTTCTTGTGCACCTGAATTCTGAAGGAACTAATCGTACATGCAAAATGATGGTCCTCATCAATAAATCGTTAATTCTTTTCTTGGGCCAGATCAATGATTGATATTTCTATTAACCCAAAAAATGAGGGGATTCACTATTATATCTAATATAGGGTCCAAATTATATATAAAAAAATCATATATGAAATGAACTTCAGAAATATACTCAAAGTTCATTTACAACATAACAAAAAGACTTTTTAACTTATTATAAATTACAAAACTGTCATCGATTGCTTAAAACAAGTTCAATTCCAAAATCTCATAAAAATTCAAAACACTCAATAGGGCATCAAAGTAATTTAATAATCGTAGGGGCTGTTATTTTTTTGGATTTGTTTATAGAAATTAAATGAAGTAAGGTTTATTTATATCATTAGTACTAAGAACGGTTATAGGACTAAATATCTCAAAAAATTATTGATATGGGCGAACTCAAAGTGTGGAAATACTAGTTAAAAACTTAAACTTATGAGAGTATTTTCTTTGTCATTATAAAAAAGTTTTGTGGAAAAAAATAGCTATTAGCAATGCTTTAACCCCCTCCATTATCAAAAACTTAAACTGAACAATAATTCAATATAATTCCTTGCTCAATTAACTTCATGAATGTTGGAATTTAATATTTATGTACATTTTGTATTATTAAATGGAAATTAAAAAGAAATGGGTCCAAACGAGCTCCCAGATCATACCAAAAAAAAAGAAAAGAATGGTTTGCTCCCAAAGGCCAAAGGCCAGGAATTTGCTCCCAAAAGAATGGTTTTTTAAGTTCGAATCATATCAAATCTTTGAGACCATCCCATAATTTTCGCATAGTAGTTTGGTGCTCTCCCCAGATTCCAGATGCCCCACAGGAAGACAAAAGAAATTTATACAAATATAATAATAAAGTGAAGGAGATCAATAATTTGGTAGCCATTTATATCTGATCATACTCATACGGTACCATTATGTAGCGATTACATGTATTTTCTTATAGAGTATGCTTTTTAACTTGCACCCAAAAGGGGAAAAAAAAAAGAAAAAAAAAGAAAAAAGAAAAGAGCAGAGTTCTAGTATATATAATCTGCCTTTGGAGATGCCTATCTATGGCTTATGGTTTTGGGTGTAAATATAATCCAAGTGAGCTTCTGCAATCAACCTTCTCTTCAGACACTCTTCATCTCTGTCATCACATTCTTCTGATCCCATCAGCTGCAATTATTTACCACCCAAGAAACAAATTAAAGAAGAAGATCAGAAAATAAACAAAAATTAATGAACATGGTACAGAAATCACAGACAAAAAACTGAAAGCGAAGGAGGAGGGGGTTATATTCTCACATCTATAGGATCATTTGTTGCAGATAATGAAGCTTGGTGTTGTTGCAGAAGACGAGCTTGTGATGAGGTGGAGAAAATAAGAAAAGCAAAGAGAGAAAACATGAGAAAGCCTTGGTAGTTTTGTTTCATTGCTTTTCTCTTGTATTTTGGCTTTTGGTTGTGCTTTGTGTGTGTGTGTGTGTTCTGATAAAAAAAGTAAGGTGGAGAAAGCAGTGTATAAATAGGACGAAAGAAGTAAACAAGGCTGCTGCTGCTGCCCTTCAGTCACATGGAAGGACCCAAGCAAGCAGTTACATGCAGTACAGTTTGTGGGGTCTACCCACTTCCTTCCCTTCTTTACTATTATCATTTTTTTTTATACGAGCGATATTGGAGGATGAGGTTTTCTCATACACACTGTCAATGATCTATTAGAATTCAACATGACACGACTGATTTGCAAGTTAAGGTCCTTTTCATTAGACTAAACCCTGTTGGCGTTTATTATTATAATTTTTGTTAAGTTTATCATCACATTAGACATATGATATTATTATTATTATTTGAAAGGAAACTTTTTTGATGAAATATTATAAAATGTACGATGGATAACTAAAATAGAAAAAGCAAATCTCAGTAAAAATATCCGCTCTTTTAATTATAATATATGAGTAACATGTGCCTCCTCAAATTGCACACCATCTACTCATACAGTGGCAATCGGCCTACACAAAAGAAAATGAAAGATTATTGAATGAATTAAAATGGTCCACAAATAAGATAGACATTAAGCTAATTAGAGGGTTGGTGATGTGATAAGTACCAAACCACAGTCTCTAGGGCAGTCTGTGTGTAGGGACTTGCATTCTTTTACTTGCTTGTCATTTTCATGGTAGTCATTGCGGGTCCAACCAAGTCAATAAAAATTTGTAAGCAAAAAAAAATAAAGATTCGAAAGTGAGAAAGAAAGAGGCCTCACGGCTCAATGCTCCGATGCTTCTTCCACTTTCTCTTTAGAGATAGAAAGAGAATAAGCATAATATATGTCCACCCACACAAACATAAGGGGTCAACGAAGTCAACTTTTGGTGACATGCTTGACATGCGATCTATGCCCTACAGCTGTTTTCCCTTTGATAATTGATGATAATTGATACTTTCTTAACTTTGGGAATTTTAACACGGCTCAAAGCTCAAGTAGTTAAGAACAACTACTTTTACACGTAATTGTGGTTTTTTCGTTTTCTCATGGAACACACATAACACATTGAGATTGACTTCTCAATAGGGTTTTCTCTAATCACAGTCTACAACAGCCAATGTATAAGCAAAATTGAGGTTATATTTATATATGTGCCTAAAAATTTGGTTTGGTCTTCTGGCTCTAATTAAACTTTTGCTCCATAATTAGCAAAACAAGAACAGGAGCTTTGAAGTTCCAACAATGCTTAACCCTTCATTCTCATTAATGAAATGGGGTAAAGAAGAATATAGTAAAGTGCATGTGTGAACATGAAGAACGTATTCTTTAGGTGAACAGATTTTCTTCCTTTTAGTCCATGTTTTCCTAATTCAAAGGGAAGATGCCAAGGGAAAAAGTTATAATCATCCCATGATTCTGTTCCCACGCTAGCTAAACCTTTGCTCTGTCTTTCTCATTGTCCTCATGGCCTTTTAAGCCTTCATAGGGGTGTTGATCTTGTCCTATCGTGTCCTGTCGTGTCTCGACATGTTTGTTTTAGTAGAATTTCATAATCTTGTCGAATTCTAATCAACTTTAATTTGACTTGTTTAATTAACTGTTTAAAATGGCATGTTTAATAATATCAGGGCTATATTATTTTTCTCTGTTTTTCATTTAAAGAAGTTGGAGTAGAAAGGATTTATATAGGCCGATTCACGGATTATATGGAAGATTTTGACCACATCTTCTAGATGCTTAACAAAAACTAAGATGTCAGATCAAACCCAAAAACAACAAAACAAAATTGAAGATGGACTTTTAGTGCTGGAACTTTGTCACTTGACTTTTAATTGAAATGATCACTGTTCTGAACTTTAAATATATCAATTATTTAAGCATTGTTAACCATCTGTAAATTCTTCTATTTTGAAAAACTTCCTTTTCAAACTTACCCTTTCATCTCAATCTCGTTTTAAGTACTGTTATCAATTGAAGTAAATCACACTAAATTTGTGTTATCAAATTATATGTACATGTGACAACATGTTTCAATATATTGTCGAAAATAAGAGTACTTTAAAATGAGTCCAAGTTTAAATTAATGAAACATTGTCACATCATTTGGTGAATAAATTTGATAAACGTAGCTATCTTATTTGTCAATAGAAACGGACTGGATTGAACCTCACTCGACAACTCGCACAACGGTGGTTCATGTTCTTTCCCGTTGCAAATCACGTTGGAGACATAATTTTTACTGCAGTAAAACTTAATTCATTCGAGCTTGGTCTTAATTTAACCCTAGCTAGTCGGTCATGAGCTTGAAATAGACAAACCAAGTAGTATCCTACTCGGATCGACGTCACTAGCTAGGCAATTTTTCAAAAGGTTTGACGAGTAATTTCTAGTCTTTATCCCATGATATGAATATGTACCTTAGAATTGAAGACATGGTCGGTGCCCATGTGTCCTTTCTCCTTCTCATCTCCCCTTTTAAAGATGATTATGGGAAATGTACATGCTGCCCTAGGCCTGCAAATTGACATAAAGTAAGAAAGATACCGTACTCGTAATATGCTCACCTGAAATGTGCACCTTATCACTTCCGGGAAATTATCCATTTATGTTAGAGAATTAAAGCTGTTTAATGTCATTTTCATAATCTCATAATCTGATAGAATTATGAAGTGATAGGGTCTTCACAAGCAGAAAAATTCTCTTGTAACGTGAATAACACTGTTTTGTTATTCCTGACTAATAATGTAATGATAGGTGGAAAAATTATTCCGCATGTCATTACGCTATTGGTCGAATATAGCAAAAAGTGGTATCCCCATTTCATGAAAGTCTATCTCCTTCACATGACTCTAATTAAGAAGAGATTAGATTAGACCTCCCATGGACTCAAACATAAATCTGTTCTTTTCTTAGGTAAACTTTTTTGTTTCTTTTGTTTTTAAGGTCAATGAAAGCTACATAGTACCAATTACATTCATTGCATTTGGCACAAACTTATAATCTTTGAATTTGAGTCTCAAGTTGAAAGCAAATGTTTTTATTTTTATTTTTATTTTTATACAAGCAATATTGAGGGAGGAGAAAATCGAACCTTGAACCTCTGGTGCATGTGTCTTAAACTACAAGCCCATTTAGCAAATACTTTGATAATCATCAGTTGAGGTCTAAAAGCACTTCCACCGTTGAGGGGGAGCCCTGGCAAGAAGGGGCCCAAGCAATCAAAGGCAGCTCCAGCGGAAGAGTTCCAGCTCGAGCAAATAGTAGGCCCCAGCAACCTGGGCAAGTCCACAAGCAAGTTCAGCTCGAGTTGCTATTGGCCAAAATGACACAATGTTGATGTCATAACGACCCCAGCAACAACAAAAATTGAAAAAAAAATAATAAAAATTTTAGAAATTTTTTTTATAAAAATTTTATAAATACCTAATAATATTCTTTACTTCCCACACAAAAAACTCTATACAAATTCATCTCCTCATATCTCATGTGAATAGTAAATGCCATTGCCCTAGCCTATAAGAGCATCTCCAGCGCTGCTGGTTTGCCCGGGCAGCAAGGGGCCTAGGCCCAACTTTTGGCTCCGGCGCACAAAGGCAAGACCAGGCAGTTGATGAGGGCCACAAGCCTGGGCAGGCCCAAAGGCAAATCTTGCTTGGGCTCTTGCCTGGGTATGCTGACATCATTGATGACGTCAACAACTAAAAATTTTTTTGAAAAAATACCAAATTTTTCAAAAAAAATTTATATATAAATACCTAGTCCTATTTTTCACTTATCATGTCAAAATTAATGGTTTAAGTATAAAAAATATAAAATAAATTAAAATAAATAGTAATTACCCTTGCCCTTGCCATTTGGAGTGGAACCAAAAAAAGTAAGGCTGACATGAATAGTGTTAAATCTTGCCTTGCCTTAGCCTTTTGGGGTGAACTTGCTCTAAGAGCACTTCCACCAGTTAGCCCCTTGCCATGGCAAGGGGAGCCCTAGGGCAGCTACTATTCATGTGAATAGTGGCTGCCCTAGCTCCCCCCAGCAAATGTGTGTTTCCAGCAGTTAGCCCCTTGCCATGGCAAATACTATTCATTTTTTTGTTTTTTTTCACAACTTTGTTTATTTAAACAATTAATTTGGATAATATTTTCGAATAAGATTTTTGGGTTCCTACGTCGTGACGTCAGCGCCAAGACTCACACAAGCTAACATCTTCCATGACACTTCATGCCCCTCCGGTTTCAATAGAAGAACCCATAAATTTTTCTAGAAAAATTCAACTTCAAAGTGAAAAAAATATTGACTACAAAGTGAATAATGGTAAAATGTATGAAGAGTTGGTGTTAAAAGTGAAGAGTATTTTTTGGTATTTATAGGAAAAAAAATCAGTATTTTTTGGGTATTTTTTCAAATTTTTTTCGATTTTTTTTTCATTTTTTTTTTGGGCAGAATTAACAGCTGTCGTTGGATTGCTGGAAGAACTGAATCGGAGCGCCCAAAGCATCGCCACGTGGAAGAGAGCCGTTGGGTGCGAGTTTCGATTTTTTTTTCATTTTTTTATTCGCGAAAAATGGCTGTCGTTGGATTTGAAATAAAGTTGATCGGACAGCTCGTGTGGGCGCCATGTGGAATAGACCCGTTGGAGGGTCACGTTAAAAAATTTTAAACAGCAGTGCTGACGTCAGCCCAAAACGAGTTTTGTTACTCGGGCTGGACCTCCCCAAGGGCTAGCCCAGGCAAATTTTTTTTGTTGGGGCCCACACCTTGCCCTGGCAGATTTGTGTTGCTGGAAACACCATTTTCCCCCAGCCCTCCCCCAAGGCCCCTTGCTGGAAATGCTCTAAGGGTGGAAACAAAATTGCAAGGGTTGCACTATTCACATGAATAGTGACACCCTTGCCCCATAAGGTGGAAGTACTCTAACCATAACATTACTTTAATAGAATTTCGGATGGGTATACAAAAGAAATATATTCACCATTTAATTAGGATGTAATTTTTCCTGTGAAATAGATATTTAAGATTGATTCAAATCCTTGAGCTGCGTTTTTATTCCCTTTTGTCGATTTATATTTCTTGGCTTTTCGTCTCTTGTCAACAAGGTTGAGATGGCCGAGTTGGTCTAAGGCGCCAGATTAAGGTTCTGGTCCGAAAGGGCGTGGGTTCAAATCCCACTCTCAACATTTCTTTTTGTACTTTATATCATTTTCAATCAGCATTGTTTTGGGCCAATGCACTTGAGATATTTATTTTAATTGAAACGGCCTAGCCCAGTACTTTTTTTGGGTCAGAACGGCCCAGTACATTAAAAATATATAAAGCAAAAAGAGATTTTCATATCTCATAAAGATAGAGCTCAAAGTCTTCGGCCAATTGGTTTCATTTTTGAGCTGACATCTATCGGGAATTTATTATTGTTTGCAAACCCAATTGGTATCTTATCTATTTGGCGGCTAAGCGTCCATGCTTTTGACTAAGCTGGTAAGTTTGATAAGGATTTGCTTTTGTTTATGGACCATATTAAAGGAGGGTTTTAGCATCGTATATAATCGGCTTTCATGCTCCATTATTTTCTAGAGTCAAATTGGTTGCTTCAAAACGGTGACACCATCTTCCTTTCTTATAAATGATCATTTAATGAATTAGGTTTAACTTCACCAACCAAGAATTTTAACTTCACAACCAAAAAAGAAACTCACACACACCAATTAACCATCATGAATTTTAACTTGACATCATCTTCCTCTCCCAGTCATTGGTTAACCGAGGACTCCGGTTAACCGGAATTGGTGATTCGGTACCGGTGCCAGAAATCTCTCCATCAAAGACTACAGTTCAATATGCGATTTTTAGGTGAAACCCGAACTAACCCAAATCAAGCCCACCCTTAATATAAACTTATATAAGCATAAGAATCCATAAACTTCTTTGAAACAATAAAATAATGATCGAATCCGAGTCAAACAATATGAGTAGAATATTTTCAGGTTGTATTTCATTCTCCAAAACGAGGTATATATAATATAAGGATGTAACCCTAGTATGGTCAAACTAGAAAAAAAATAAAATCCTAATTACACAATATCTGTATAAAAGGAAAAAAAAATATAATCCTAATAAACTAGAAAATAAATCTTCTAATTAAGTTAGAATTTCGCTAACAATTGAGACACAACATCGAAGGAACACAGAAAAACCGTGACCACGCTACTACATACATATCCAGCCCAAGGTATATCCATAGGACAAGTTGATATATGTGTCTGTGTGTGTTGAGGTAACATAAAGAAAGAAACATTCACGGGTGGTTGTGAATTTTATGCAGTTGCGTGTAGAAAGAAACACCTTCAAATAAACTATAATAAGATAACATAATCTAGAAGGAAAACGAAAGGAGATATTGACAAGTGCATGAACAGAAGGTAGATATAGACTATAACAAAGAGAAAGCAAGCAGTCAAAAAGAATTGTATTGCATATTCTTTATGTTCCTGAACTATATATCGAGGTGGTTAAGTCGCAGACAGTATCAATATTAGATCAAATAACAGTGAATCGTTGGTCGGTCTCTCTTAAATCAATTCTTACCTAATAAAGCACCCCTTAATCATAGCTGGCCAACTTGTACAATTTCCTCTTGATGTTCCAGGTCATGACCCATCATAGTTTAACTAATCTAACTGATCTAGAATCTTGATGAACTGAAGCTTCTCCTATCACATGCCGACTGTTTGACCTCTACCTCATCAATTCTATATTAACTTCAGACAATCCTATCTGGGCAGGGCACAGCTCTCTGCTTGTTGCTGGACAACACCAACAGCTGCTTCAGCAAAAGCTGCTAAATTATGTTTATTATTCCATAATATAGTTTAAAAACTCTAAGCTTCTATATTCTTGTCTTCTTCCCACAAAAAAAAAAATCAGGCAGAATTAGTATTTTACATGTCAAATTACAAATGCAGTGACATCTTTTGTCTTGTACTTTGTTGTTGTTAATATGGTGCTTATATGCACATGAGGTTACACCACAATGGAAAAGTGGGTCAAATTCTCCCCCTCCCTCCTTCCTCCCACAAAATGCTCCCATGTTCGATTCATGTAGAAAACAAATTTGAGACAACCCAATATAATTCTCCCCCCTCCACCTTACCCCTGCGAGTGACAACAAAAAAATGGTGGTTATATTTATTATATGCATATAATTGCGTTGAACATATATGATTCATGTGGTGTGTTTCTATATTGCTCTAGGGCCATTACTTCACGTGTGCTGATAGGGAGAGATATATATATATATATATATATATAGGCAAAAGTCAAGATCAAGCTAGACTCTGCTCTAGAGAAAAGCAAGGCTTTGAATGGAGGGAAAAACGGCTGGGAGATGTGTAAAGGTCACGGCCTTAAGAAATGCAGATCAGAGAAGTGGAAAGCAGAGGAGGAAATTTTCTTTAAAATATATCCAGGGGGATCAAAAGGTCAAAAACTGATCTGAATCTTGGAAGAGAGTAAAGAGAGTACGGAATATTTCGGTTGAATAAATTCTTAAAGGTCAAACAACATGCATGATGATGCATCTATCTATTAATGGTAATATTGAATCGGGATGAGATTGGAGTTTTCCCACTTATTTTCCATGTAGTCAACTCCTGATTCAATGCGATGGTGTAGATGTCAATCCAGCGCCCACCTGATGATGATATCTTTGTCTAGATGCACCATACTATACTATATATTTCAAGAAACATTGATCTATGTAAGTTTCAACCTTCAAGAACTTAAGAACCGATTTACGAATTTAGAACCTCCAGTACCATTAATTTAAGATATGTAGTTGATAAAATTGGCTTAACTCAGTGTCATATAGTTGTTGCACACATGGCTATTCCGAGAAAAATTTGAGCAGAAGAAATATCCTATTGTACATGAGGCAGAATGAGTGACATGTATTGTCCAGTTATAATATACCATATGTTAACTTACGTAATTTTATTAATAGATAATTGAATACAACCTATCACTCTATATACCACTTACATTGCATGTTCATTGGTTTGATTTCAATTTTCTGAAGCGTTGGATGAGGATGGCATAGGCTGCATGCATATGCATATGTATGCCTTCTTAAATATTCAAGGTGCACGAGGTATAGCAAGTAGCCCGCCTCAACAAACATATCTAGAATCTCAACCATTTATATGAATGCCAACTCTCCCCCTACTTTTTAAAATGGTCAACGCCAACACCCATCTAAGTCATAAACAGTTGTATAGTAATAGTAAAGAAGGCAACTAATCAGCACCAAAATGGTGCAAGTTGAAGATGTGCAGAGTTGCAAAACAATACTGCAAGTTGCAACAGTCAAATATGGAAGGTCTAGTTTATAAACTATATTTATTTGCTTTCAGCTTCAGCACTGATCCACATGTTGTGTTTTCAAATTACTTTAATTACTTCTCCTAACTGTTAATTAATTCGTAAACAAACGTTATTCAGTTGCTTTCTTTTCTAGCCTGCAACTCAAAATATTGTTATATATGAAGCTGCTGCTGCCCTTTTGTTTCCTCTCAATGGCTGCTTTTGTTCTCTAGTCATCACTCTCTCTCTCTTCTCTTCCATTCTCTTCGACCATGGAAACGTTCACTCACTTTGTGACTCGTTTAAGTTCAACTCAGCTCCTTCTTATCACACTCACTCTACTACTCTACACACCCACATGGCCATCTTTTGCTGCCGCCACCCAAACAGAGTTTCTCAGAGACTTCAAAGCCACTCCCCACCCTTCAATCCAAACCTTCCAATCTCTCCTCGCCGACCCAAATGGCAATTTCTCACTGGGTTTCCTCCGAGTCAACAAAACCCAACTCGCTCTCGCTCTCCTCCACGTGCCCTCCTCAGACCCGCTCTGGCTCGCCAACCCGGCCCAGCTTGCTCGCTGGTCCGACCGCACAACCCTCGTCTTCAATGGCAGCCTCGTCCTCTCCGATCCTCAGGGGAGGGTGTTCTGGTCAACTCACACCCAAGGCGACCGAGTTGTGCTCCTCAACACCTCCAACGTCCAAGTAAAAACCCAGAGCTCAGTTCTATGGCAGAGCTTCGACTTTCCTACAAATACCCTCGTCGAGAATCAGAATTTCACATCGACCATGTCCCTCGTCTCCTCCAATGGGCTCTACTCAATGCGATTGGGGAGCAAATTCATGGGTTTGTACGCAAAGTTCAAATCAGGCTCAAACTCAGACCAAATTTACTGGAGACACAGAGCCATGGAAGTCAAAGCTGAAATAGTCGAAGGCAAAGGACCGATTTACGCCCAAGTCAACTCGGACGGGTTCCTCGGAATGTACCAAACTGGGAACTCAGCGCCGGTCGATATTCTACCCTTCAACACCTTCCACAGACCCGTCAATGGCCTCCGCAAGGTCCGGTTAGAACCGGACGGAAACTTCAACGGGTTTTACTGGGACGGGTCCAAATGGGTTCCGGATTTCCAGGCGATTTCTCTCCCCTGCGAGCTCCCCAGCCCCTGCGGTGCGTACGGTTTGTGCGGAGCGGGGAACGGGTCGTGCTCCTGTTTGGATAACCGGACGGAGTTTCGATCCGGTGAGTGTTTTCCGGTTCAGTACGGTGACTTCTGCAGCGGCGGATTGGGCGAGATCAGTAACTTCTGGGTTATACGGAGGAGCGGTGTGGAGCTGCCGTACAAGGAGTTAATGGGGTACCAAACGACGTCGTCGTACGGGGAGTGCGAGAGAGTATGTGAGAGGAACTGCAGTTGCTGGGGCGCGGTGTACAATAACGCATCCGGGTTTTGTTACACCATGGACTACCCGATCCAAACCCTGGTGGGCGTTGGGGATGAGAGCAAGATGGGTTATTTTAAGGTACGGGAGGGTGCAGGGAGGAAGAAAATGAACGTGGGTTTTGGGGTGGGGATTGGGGTGGTGTGTGGGGCCCTGGTGATTTTTGTTGGGGTTGCTGGGGTTTGGAGTTTTAGGGTGTGGAGGAGGAAGAGAAGAGGAGGAGGAGGAGGAGGAACGAAGAGGTTTACGGGTCAAGATGGTGGGCTTTCACCCGGCCCGTATAAAGATCTCGGATCCGCAAGCTTTAGGTCCATTGAGATGGGAAATAATGGTAGATAGCTAGTGACGTAGGGAATGATGACATTTGTTTTGGAGGGCTGGGGGTTTGGAGTTTGACCGACAATGATGTTGATCACTAAACTCTTTTTGTTTTGTAATGGTGGGTGGGGCCAAATATCTTTGTGTTTTTAACTGTATTATAGATGATTGGGTGGCCCCTTGCCTAATCTCATTGATAATGTATGCATAGTTTATAGATATTAGTGCGCCTTCGCTTGCCACTTCGAATGCTTTTGTATATATTGATCAAAGTCGTACAAAATCTTGAATATGATACGAGGATCATAGATCAAGATTGAATTATGGTATATTTGAGAATTATGAGTGGATGGATGTATTGATAATCTTTATAATATATGAATAACATATTAGTATGTTTCGCTGTTGATAATACGACATTATGAAAATCGTATTGACACTCATGCAAAGAGAAGAATGAATTGTAGAATTTGAAATTAGGTAATTCTAAAATTTTGATAGCCACCATTAACATTAGTGGTCATCTATAAATAGAATGAGTTTCTATGATTATGTCATTTGTCATAAAAGAGAGCATTTAGGAATTTTTTTGTTTCGTGACTATAATTTCTCATGTTAAGTATATTTCAGAATTGTCCAAAATCTAAAATGATGATTTTGAAAGAACGAAGAGATGGGTTTCTCATTTTTATTTTTCGTGTTTTCAAACACTACAATAAAAATATTGTATGTTTATATTCTTAAAATATATAATACTCTGAATTTATAATGCGAATTCATCTCGAAGAAGACAATACTATCCAAGTTGGAAGTGACAAAATACAACCAATATTTTAGTGTAATACATCCTATAAGTGATATTGTGACTTGTGGAGGAGGCAATTGTTAATTAGGTGGGGGGAGTTGAAGTTGTTTATCATTGGAGGGAGTAGAGTTTAGTGGAAGAAAAAAAATATGGAGTTGACTGACGCACTGGATGACATGTTTTAGATTGTGATCCAACACTAAATATCCTAAGAGATTGGGAGGCCAATAGTTGGGTAGCACAAAGATGCCTTCATTGCAATTTTTAGAAGCCATCTTCTTTGAGTTTCGTTTAAATTAATCTAGACATTCTCCCAACTATCACATGAGAGATTCTACACCATATTAAAAGGAATAAACACCACCACCCCCATTTTAATTTGTTACAAACACAGCTTTTTCACTCTCTGCCATCACTAACATCATCAATAATAATAATAATCTCTCGAAAAGGCAATACCTAAAATAAGTCTGCTTTGGAAACCAGTCACGAAAAGTAGAATCAAAGACCATAATATTAAGCTTTGGGAAGCTCTTCCTAAACGAAAACTCGTCATCTTGGCTAAGAGTAGTAATGGCCTGATTGTGAACAATGGAGGAACCTTGTACTTTCATTGATCCTATTGACTCCAAAAGGACCAGATACCTTACGAGGGGCCCCAAATACCTTACAATAGAAGAAATGGTTCCGGATGTAATGAGACCTGTTGCAGGGAGAACGGGGGGGAAGAGGTTGGTGTTACCCCACCAGATTGAGGACCAGACGACTTCTTAAGAGGTTCCACCAGATTGGCCCTGACTTTGATAACAAATCTATAGAAGTCACTCCATTTATTCTCTTCAGGTCCGGTGGAGATCAAGTAATTCTTTCATAAAAAATTGAACATCAATAAACTTACACAAGAAGCCCAAGTTCTGAAGCTGCTCCATAAACATTCTAAGCAGGGAGTGTATATCATTGTCTATATGTTATTGCCCTAGGACACCGAAGAGGATTATTCTCATTGCTACATATAAGAAATAATCTGGAATTGATAGATCACAAACGGAAAGATAGACCGCGAAAATAATCAAGAAGAAAGCACTCATACCAACAGATTGCCTAGAACTTTCAACAACGATTATGGGTAAAAAACTTGAAAATTTATAATTTTATGCGAACACTTCCTAGGCCAATGAATGCAAAATTGTTCTCAATTTCATATGCGTGAATTCCACCAAGATCTCCCATGATGAAATGCTTAGTTACATGAACGCAGGAAGAATAAGACAGTGAGGTCCACCCCTGGGAATAGGTATTTCAGTCCTCCATTCTTTTTCTAATGCTTTTCCATCTATATCCAAAGTTGAGTTGCTGGTGCGAACCTGAGAATTACTGAGTTAAAACCATTCAATCTACTTGTGAACTACATAAGAAAAATTATATGATTTGTTTTGGATTACAAATACTTACTAATGAAATCTTACACTAACAAATTGATGATTTTCAGTTCACACCATCAGTACAACATTTGTGACTGGTATTCAAATTTATACTCACCATAAATGCCGAAGATTCATATAATTCTAGGCATAATATGTCATTGGCGACATTAGCTCCCTTTTCTTACTCATCTGAATATCTCTTTTTGCATGATGATGGGTAACAAGAATGGTGCATATAAGAGGGTCTTACCTTTGCTTTTTGCGTCACGAATGCTACTATTTCTATTCCCAACCAAGGTATGCTAGATTTTGCTCCTGCAATACCTTTTCCTTTATACACCCACAAACGGGCATCACTTAAATATTAGTGAAATTTGCATAAATACCACCTAAACTTTTAGGTATGTTCAAGATTACCACTTGATTTTTTGATTTTTACTATTAACCACTTGAACTTCATAAAGTGTTGCAATATATCACCTATGTCTAACTCTGTTAAACTTTTCGTTAAGTTTAAGGGCATTTGTGTCAATTCAATATAACGAAATATTTTAATATTTTAAAACTAACAATTAAAAAATAAAATAAAAAACTTAATCAAATTCTCTCACGACTTCCCCACCCCTTCCAACACCCAACACCAATTCTCCCCCATCCCCTGCATATATACACTCTACTCCACATCTTCAAAGAAGACTTAAGTGCTTGGTTGTATTTCTATTTTGTAATTATCTTTGAGTTTCTTTTGGGTTGAAAATTTTTTGGATCGTTGGATGGAGAGAGAGTACTTGCAATATGAAAGTTTTTTTTTGCTCGGGAATGAAAACTTTTATTGAATTGGAGGCCAAGACTCTAAGAACAAGCTAAGAAGTGCAAGCAACTATATAAACAAATTAAATGACAGGACCATTGCAATCTAACATGCCACCTGCCAAATCATTTTGGGATAGATGGATTTCATGGATCATTGTGTGCATGAGGCTGCAGTCTTAGGAGATGTTGGTTTTTTTAAAAATAAATATTACAGATGGTGATGTATTAAATGATTATCTTCCTCGATGCAGGGGAGAGAGAGATGAATTATGGTGTATGCAGAGAGGCGGATGAGGGAGCTAAGGGGAAGAATTTGTGTTGAAAGGGGTGGGAGAAGTCATGGGATAATTAGGTTAGGTTTTTCTTATAAATACTTTTGTTAGTTTTAAACATTTTAGTTAAAGAGAATTGACATAAATATCGTTAAACTTAATACAAAGTTTAACAGAAATAGACGTGGGTGGTACATTGCAACACTCTATAAAGTTTAGGTGGTTAATAATAAAAATTAAAAGTTCATGTAGTAATAATCACGCACATGCCTAAAAATTCAGGTAGCATTTATGCAAATTTCCCGAAATATTATGTATCTATCCTGGCCAGAATGTCAGCCTTATCTAATGAATAACGTTAAATTATGGCATTCTTGAATTAGATTGATGGTGCAGTTTCAACAACTTTTATTAGGTTTTATATAGAAATTTATAAGCAGTTCTCTGTAAGTGATGGTTTAATAATAATTAAATATGAGTGATATGAATGTTGCAAGGTTATGTGGACTCTTCACTTCATCTTGTTGCATATAATTGTGTCAATAAGACATGACACAGGTAAGTGGTAAGGGGTACTAGGAATTGTAGATGCATAGAAGACCTTCGGAGAAAGACAAACACTGATATACTTGGGCATCGACCCTCGTTTGACTCCCATACCACTACCAAAAAAAAAAGAGTGGCAACAACTTTTAGTCACCCCCACATTAATCATTAAATATCACCAAATTGATGACTGTTGCCACTTTTTTTTGTAGTGTACCCAAGTTCATGTAACATATGTGATTGCACGAACTCCTTAGGAAAGGAGCTTTGTTTAGTTAGTTGATGAGCTACTTGTTATGTATATGAGAAGCATAAAATTCACATTAAAAATCCAATGATTAGGGATTTTTACTTCTAAGGTCCTAATAAAGTCTTTTGTTTTTCATGATAGACAAAATAGATTGATATTGGTATCTGATTATTGAACTTGTCTGATGTGTGTTAAAGGTTACTCAATATATTTTATCATTTATCTTGATGTTTCCTATATTGATCCACATATGAATTTGGTTCATCTTCTTCATTATCTTCCATTCTCCTGTTATTATAGGAGTTGCAATTCCTCCTTTTTATCCTTTGTATATATTCAAAGAGTATAAGCCTTCGAATAAACGTATAGCTGAGCGGCTATACTCCCCTCGTTAAATATATTCGAATATTTTAAGCGTATAGCCGTTCGGCTATACTCGTGAATAAGATTCGAATATTTTAAACGTATAGCCGTGCGGCTATAATTCGAATATTTTAAACGTATAGCCGAGCGGCTAAACTTGTTAAATATATTCGAATGTTTAAACAGTATAGCCGTCCGGCTATACCGTAAAGAGTGTAGCCGTATATATTTTAAGAGTATAGCCGCACGGCTAAACTATTAAACAATATTAATATTTAAAGAGTATAGCTGCAAAAAAGAGGCTTGTGCTGATAGCGTTTTCTAATTAATTTAATTAGTAATTATGTTTTGATGATTTTTTCTTTAGTGAATATTTATTATTTAAATATTTTTCTAATTTTATAAATTACTGAATAAATATTAATTAATTATTTTAAATTATGCTGTGGACTTTTTTAATTATTTTTTTATACAAAATTAGTTTGTTTAGTTTTAATATTTACAATTAAGTAATATCTTAGCCTTATTTAATGATATTAATTATTCTT